AGTAAGTGAAAAAATACTCCAAGGATCTGTGCCACATTGCCTGTATAAATGTTCATTTCAAACTTTGAAAATTCAGAAACCAAAAATGACAGCTCATGCGTGGCCCAAACACTGAAGGGTACATAGGGTACAGTCCATAGGCTGCCTTGAAGATACCCGCGGGTATCTTTGGTCTGAGGAAGGGGGGGGGGGGAGTATGGAGTAATAAAGGCCAAAAGGTCATTCAGAATGACTCAACTACATTTTTTTTCTTTATTCACTTGAACACAAGATTTTTATTCATCTCAATGCAGTCTTTCATGTCAAAACACAAGCTTGTATGTAAAAAGGAAAGAAAAATATAAGGGAATTTAATCATTGAAATTCACATCAACATCTTCCTCTTAATCTCTTTGATAGAATCAATAGGCAAACTGCTGAGACTGGGTTGCTGGGGCCCATTAATAGTTTTTCATCTGGAGACAATGCACTCGGAGGGTGCGCTTGTCGCAGGAACCCCAAGGTAACAGGATGCCATCAAGGATAAAGAAGGGCTAGGTATCCTGTATCCTGTGGACCTGTACTTGTATGCCTAGCTCCAAGGCTATGTACATACTTTGGCGGGTATAACCTTGAATGGCTGGGTATACCCTTATACCTTCCTCATAATTATTCCCACTGGTTTTCCACTTCCCTATACCCTTGGGTATGGCTTGGCTGCATTGATTTATGTACCTGGGTATGGGTATATATACGCTTGGGCTGGGGCACAGCCAAGGTCAAACTGGCTGGGTGCCCCATGGGTTCCAGAGCTATGCAGTGTGATTGGGAGAGAATCAGAACCCCAAAACAAGCTAGAGGAACTCAATTTTGAAAAGCAAAAAACTGAGATGAACAATCTGTTCCCCAAGTTTTGGAAACAAGGTGTCAGTGGTACATCATTTCCATCAGGTTCAATTTCCAAGTTGGAAATTGGCAAAATTGGGAATGGTGGTACAGGCCCTAGCTCTAAATAAAACAGTTTTCCAAAGTGAATTCATTTTATTGGTCAGATGCACATGGAATATATTCAAAACTCTAAATGGGGAAACAGTCACAATGAAAAGGAACATAGGCAAATTAAATGACAGATAGTTTGCAAAATAAAGAAGGATGCTATTCAACAAGCACAATTTATTAAGCCTGAACTCCAGCAAACCTAACCTTTTATTACAAAAACTTTGCAACATGATTGATTTTCTTTTTCCATAATTTAATTAATATTTCACCATAGCTACCTTGGACCCTTATGATTTTCCACTTTCTCTCAACAGAAATTTGTAAATTTTCTTTGTTTTCATCATCATGTTTAACATTTGGCATGCAATGAATGGCATCTTTGACTTGCACTCTTTAGGGGTCCATAACAATCCTATGGTCTTTTGCTCTTGGCTGGTCTGTTTCTTTAGGTGAAGAATTAATGGCCAAATTAGGTCAGGGTTTTAATGGGATGAGGAAATACAGTGAGGAGAATATCACTGGAACGGTTACGGCATGGGGTGCAAAAAATGAAGGAAGAACCAATGGAGCTTGATTTCTTGTAACTGGCTAGGTTTAAGTAGACTACATAAAATATGATCGAGATGTGGTTTGATAATTTGAATATTTTAATATAATAACAGTACCAAAAAAGTCAACAAACTCAAGAAGGCAAGTGTCACTGAAATAGCTGATAAGTCATACTAACCAGGGTTCATGGACTACAAGGATGTTGATCAGAAATCCATATATTTAGATGAAAACAGGCTATAATGATGAATGAGAACATGAGTGGTCACTGGTGATATAAAATAAATGTGATTTTGAATGAGTAAAAAGTTATCAAAATTCCAACACCAGCTGAGGGTGGTTTTTTTGTCTGTACAAAAAATCAGTGAACTAAATGATTTGATTGCAAGAATGTTACAATTCAACTGTTTAACGTTAAACCACAACCCCCCCCCCCCAAACACAAAAAAAGTATTGTGTATAGCAATGACGGAAGAGACATTCATTCTCTTCCTGAACCTGTTTTGCCCTAAAATCTTACGCCAACCCACTCCATTTATATTATGTCCTCTCTTTGTTTTATTTTTCTCCATTTTTCATGTTTGTTCCAACTTTCCTTTTTCCTCTCCACTTCAACCTCAATTAGGCACCTCCCCCAGCCTACACCTTGATAATTCCTTACGCAAACCTCACTGCATTGATTTGTCTAAGCTATCTCCTACCGACACAGTGCAAAACACTGCCCCTGCCCTACACCTTTGACGAGGTAATACTCAATGCAATCAACTATGCTATGCACACATAATCTAGACTTCCCTTACTGGGCATTGTCACTTCAGTAGAACCTGATACCCCAACCCAGGTTACTCGGGTTGTTTTCCGTAGACACCCATCAGAACTGAGCCCCAGAGCTTATCGCATAGCTCCCCAAAACACTCATGGCCGCTTTCAGAACAAGCAAATCCCCCATTTGTATTCCTGGGCGGGGGCCTCCCCCCCGTAAGTGTAAGTTGTCAATTTGGCCTACACAAAATCCTTAATCCGGGCCCGACCCACTGTACTAATCCCGAATTCATCTCCCTCACCACCGTTTTGTTTCAATTGTTCTCCGCCTGCCACAGCCTTCACTCTTCAACTTATTCTCTCCCTTTCGCTTCTGCCTCCAACTTTCCTCGGCCGGCAAACAATGCTCCCACCCTCAATCATATTTCACTTATCCTTAAGCAGACCTGAAGTCAGTCTTTTTGCCCGGTTTCATTGGTTTTGATTTGTTTACACTCCTCTTCACCACTTACCCAAACCGCTTTTTGCTCAACCGCTCAACTTATTTCATGACTTCCCTTTGGTCCTCACAGACCTTATCCATTTCCTAAATTGTTTCCATTGCCATCACAAACCCCGGGCGTCTCAGAATTATTAAGTGAATATTTGTAGACACTAGTAGAGTTGGTTATTGGGCATATAGGTTGATCTGTATATTCTATTTGTTGCACCATTGCTTGCAGCCATACATTTACCACCCCACTGAACACATGTCACAAGTCCTGCTGTTTGTAAGAGAACTGGAAGCAAAGATGCCCTTTGTGCAGACAGGGACTTGTATAGTGTCCCAAAATGTGAGTGGGAGCAACAGAAACTTGAAATTACCCTTTGGCTGGGATCTTTCTTAATTTTTTGATAGATTCAATCACAGTCTCTCACAGGTTAGGAACTCAGGTTTCCGTGAAAGTTTAGCTTCTTCCCTACACCTCAGCCTCCTTGGATTTTATTTATGCTCTTCCAATGATTTCCAAATCAATTTTTCACTAAATTGAAAGAAACAAATTTTCTTAGAAGGTATATTCACCAAGAAATTTGAAAGATTGCAATCCTTTTGGGTCACTGTATTTTTAATATTAGCATCTGATATCATGAAACTATTTCCTGACAATTGGCTCAAAAGTGCACAGGAAGCCCCTGGATTTGCCAAACTTAGTATGATAATTTGCATCTTTCTTGTGTACTTCAATCATCAATTTGTGAACCTTTTTTCATTTCAGGTGAAAGTATTATTATAGCCATGAGATCCCCAGGAATACAAATTTTTTTTTTACCAAGAATGGCTCCAAAGATGTCTACTCAGTTTTTTTTTTTTTTTTTACTCAGTTTTTAAAACTAATTCTTGTTTTTTTTTTTCAAGTCTGAAAATCATTTCTGCTCATGTCAAATATGAGCCATCAGTCAGGATGTAAACAGGTTGGGTTTGGGTCCCAAAACAGTGCCCAAACCCAGCCCAATACTTTTGTTGGGTCAGGTCAGACTTGAAAATATGCTTCCCAGACCCAAAGCTGTCTTGGGACTTCTTGGCTTCAGGTTGGCAATATGCACCTTGGTTTCAGGATGACCCAAGCTTTATAGCCTGCTCAGAGGGAACATGATTCAAGATTACCTGCCCAAATCAGACCCAATAAGTTTCTGGGTTGGGTTTGGGTCATGTGATCATTTTCTTGCAAAATCTTCCCAAAACCAACCCATGACCTTTCAGGTCTCAAGTTGGCTTCAGGAGGGTCCATTTGAACCCTGAGCCATAATGCATAAGTGTTGGAATTCCGTTTTCTCCTTCTTTCCTGTCTGTCACTTCATTGTCACTCCTTTCCCACCTAGTGTCACTCCTTTTCCAGTTCCACAACATTGGTAATTTAGTATGCCACTCAGCATCAATGAAAACCACCCAACAATCTTTGACACCTCACACCTCAACACTCTCCTCCTCAAACTACAAATACGAGTCTATTCAACCATCCCAGGTGTTTTTGTTTTTTGGGGTTTTCTTAAGAGAGGAAATTCCCATACAAGATTCAAGAATAGCAGGGTTTATGATTGTGCTTTTGAATGCTTGTTTTACTGAGAAGATCTTGTTTGTTTGTAGCTTGGATGTTAGATTTGGATGGTGGCAAGTGTGTTTGATCAACTTTTTTTTAAGCTTTGCAGCAGGCCATGCAGCTGCTGATTTGGAATAAACAGTCTTATGACAACTGTCAATCATGAATCCAGCTGATGCAAAAAGGAAAAACAAAATGTTTCAAAAAAGATATGAGTTGACCATCATGAATTTCTCTAGCTGAGCCTACAAGGCCTTCAAACCAACAAGGTCCCACCCATTTCACTCACATCTTCTCCCTTTACTGTTTTCTGTGATCTGGCACTTATTAATTTGAATTGGACTTCTAGGAGCTACAGCTGTACATGTCCTTAACATAGATCAAGTGCAGTATATGAAATCAATAGCACTGAAAAGTCTTCACCCCTCTCTATTTCTTTTTGGGGAGTGAGTATTTGGCCTATGGCATTGCACACTATGAAACTCAATAAATCTGAACCTAAGTACATATTCAAAAATCAGTCAATGTGAGGCATGAGAAAGTGTATGATAAATACTAACTATCTAAAAATCTCCTCTATTTAAACCTTATAAGTACCTCAGAAAGAAAAAAGGAAAGTGTAATCTTGAGTTTCCCATAACAAAATATAAGTTCATAGTCTTCCAACTTTTTTCAATTTAGATTGAATTTGTTTAATAAAAAAAAGCGGTTATTGTTGTTCAATAAGTGGTTTACAGAAAGGCGCAACAAAATAAAAATCAAAAAACAAGGGGACACAGGGAGTCTTTTTTTTCAAAGAAAAATTGAGGATGAAGTAGAAATTGTGAAAGGTTAAGAGACAACGAGGAAAAATGATAAGAATGAGAAAAAACGAGGAGAGTTCATAAATAATACGGCGCTCGACTGGCATTAATGCCGTACTCGGCAAGCGCTTGAGCGAGGTCTTCTTGAGTGAGAACTGTGCGCGTACGATCCTGGTGAAACAGAGAGGGAATATTGTAGTGGGGAGGGAGGGCGGCAGAAAGAATGAGTGACCCGCGAGCTTGAAAAACGAAAAAAGGTAGATGATGGTGTAACAAGTCAGCTGACCTTTCGAGCGCCGGGGTTGTTAGGGGCGCCGTTAGCGAGGCCGGCCGAGTTGGAGTTAGGAGCCAGAGGGCCCTGTCGACCGCCGGGCGCCTGGCCGGTCCTCGTCCGGGCATAACTGAACGCGTCCTGGGCAATGTCCGAAACAAACTTCTGGCAGGCGAGGACTAGCAACCTTTGCACCTTCACATCCGTGCATTCGAAGCCCACCCGTTGCAGATAATAGGCCGCTACTTCATCCGGTATCACCGGCTTGTATTCTTCCATCTTTAATAAGAATTGCGCTAGTTCCCTGCAGACACAAAAAAAAGAAAGCAATAAAAATCAGATTGATGTTTTGTTTTCTACGTCTAGAGTCTTTGATGGTTTAACGTACTGATCTTTTTGATGCATTTCATGATCTTTAGCAGACATTCCGTTCGACAAGGGCGTTTCAGTGGTAGCTGGAGTGCCGGGACCGGGAGCAGTTCCGTTGGGCAAAGAGGAACTTGAAGAGGCAGGAGGGATGAGAGCAGTGGCAGCCGAAGGTTGGAGGGAAGAAGAGGAAGACGAAGGCAGATTTAATCCATGATTATTGAAGTTTGAGAATGAGCTGGGAGGGGCGGTATGCGATGATGAAGGGTTCTGAACTGAGGAGTTGTTCGGGTTGAGGGTGTTGGTGGGGTTGGGAGAAGCAGAAGAAGAGGGTGGCGGATTGAATGATGATGAGTGAAGTGAGAAGGTTGAGGAAGATGGCAGGCCGGTGGGTTGAGTTGAGCTTGATTGTCCAATTGGTCGATGGTTTATTCCTCCAGTCCCAGTGCTTGTGTTATTATTAGTATGATTATTATCGGTAGCTGATGTTGAGTTTGAGTCGTTGTTGTTGCTATTAGTGTTGCCACCCCCGCTCAACAATGCTGGATCGATGGCACCGGAGATGAAGCCTGACATGTTGAGTTTGTGGATGCGTATCTTTGTATCTAGTAGTTTCCTGGTTTAATGTGAGTTGATTCGATCGATCGATCGATCTTTTATTCTTAATATTGAGTTCGCTTCTTTGTTTGTTTGTTCGATGGTTTCTTGTCTTGATCCAGTTCGTGAGTGACCTTCCTCTTTTTTTGGTTTTTGGCTCTTGGCTGTAATTTTGGTGGGTGTGGTCGATTGGAGAAGTCTGGTCTGGATCCTTCGTGACCACTCCCGAAATAGAGTGTCCACACCAGTGCGCAATCTGGGACCTAATTTAGACGGGCAGTGGGCCAGGCCAAATTGAAGCTTCAGTGCACTTGCATCACACTTCTCCCAAACCTGGTCCACAAGATTGGAAAAATTGAAATCAAATTTCCCCATTTATAGACTATATGCAAGTCAGAAAAGACACTCTATATGTCCATCTTGAGATGTTGTGGACTAGAGCACGACCAAGCAAATATCCATCCAATCTCAAATCCCATTTTCACTGAATTGGATATGTATTGCTTGATGACCTGATTTTCACAATATGGCAGCTTTTCTTTTTCTAAAGTTCACTGCTTCTTATGAATGATTTTTGATTAGTAAGTTTTATAAATTTTGAGTTGTCAAGTTTGAGCATGATCAGCTGAACAAAATTCCAAGAACATCTATATAGGGACTTGATCAACCGACTCCCAAAAATTGGAGAGTTGACTCCTAAACCTGGGTTTCCCCGAAATTTGGGAGTCAATTCCCCAAATCCATCAGTGGGTTTGGGAGTCGGTCCCCCAAAAAAATTTAAAAAAAAAAAAGAAAAACCCCAGAGGGGTTGGGTGTCAATGCCCCAAAACCAAGTGGTTTTGAGGGGTCAGTGATAAAAAAAAACAGCAGCCGGGAGGATTCCTCCCGTCCGTGGAGAGTGTTTTCTCAAAGGCCGAGAGATTTTCTCTCAGCCGTCAAGGGTCTACAACCTCAACAGCCAAGAGGATTTCTCTCGGCCGTTGAGGAAATCCTCTTGGCCGTTGAGTATAACCCTCAACGGCCGAGAGGGTTTCTCTTGGCGGTGGAGGGTGTACACCTCAACGGCTGAGGGAAGCTTCTTAGCCGTCAAGGGTGTACCCCTCAACAGCCGAGTGAAACCTCTTGGCCATCAAGGGTGTCACACCTCAACAACCGAGCGGGTTTCCTCTTGGTCGT